CTCTGCTCCTTTAGGTGTCCACAGATTGCTTATAATGGCCTCTGCTCCTTTAGGTGTCCACAGATTGCTTATAATGGTCTCTGCTATGTGGTGTCTGCCTTTCATGTTTGACCTATCTACCCAACTGACATGATGGAGACCCAGGATCTAGTTCATGGCTATACTATGTACTTGTCCAGCCCAGGAATGTGTTTTGGCTTCTCACCCCTTGCACAGGGTTTTAAAAAATTAGTCACTTAGTCCAGGATTCTCTTTGCTCCCTGTTCGAATCTCACATTCTTTTTTTTTTTTTTTTAATTTTTAAAGACTTTATTTATTTGAGAGAAAGAGAGCGAGCGAGAGAACATGAGTGGGGTGAAGGGCAGAGGGAGAAGCAGACTCCCTGCTGATCTGGGAGCCCGATGCGGGGCTCCATCCCAGGACTCTGGGATCATGACCTGAGCCGAAGGCAGACACTTAACTGACTGAGCCACCCAGGTGTCCCCCGAATGTCACATTCTTAACTATTTGTAGGTGATGGCCCAGAATTCAGAGACCTCGTTATCTTGAGCAATGCCATTCCACATCTGGTGGCCCTCGTTTCATCAACCATACCAGTAAGTATTTTTAAAGTAGAAGAACTAGCTAGGTAACAAGTTTCTGAAATTGGGGGAGTACTTTCAAGTTAATGCTAGGTCATACAGTTGCTGCCTTGCCCCTTAGGACAGCAATTATAAGCAAGGCCTAGGACTGAATATCACATTGGGCAGAGATGGATCCTCATTTGGCCCCAAGGGCAATAGTGCTAGTTTTTCTTCAGGGGGCATTGGAAGAGGTCCATTAAAGTTTTTCTAAGCTTACAATCCTGCAAAAGTAGATGGGGCACAGACAGTTAATGAGTCACCAGTTCTGTTCCTAGGTACCAGGTCTAGGTTCGAAGCTTAGAGTCAAAGTTGATTGATGTGGCAACAACAGGGAACCCCCTTGGGAAAATGTTGGTTCTATATTTGCCCCAAACAAAAATGAAGGGAAGGTAGCTTCAAAAAGCCCAGGGAATACCCATCCCTCAAGGTGGGAGAAAACCTGACATGGTGGGACCAGTAAGAGGCTGGCATGATTAAGGAGTTTGCAAGGAGAGAGCAGAGCAAGATGACAAGTAGGATGAAGGACTTAGACATCCACCTGCTGGCAGAGGCAAGCAGGAAGTGAAGTGATCTGATCTTTTGGGAAGACCCTTCTGGCTGCTTGTAAAGTGAGAGCGGAGCGAGCTGGTTGCTGCCATGCTGGACACGGGGGAGTGGAAGAAGCAAGAATGCCCTTGGTTTCAGGTTAGGTTGTTTAGATGACTGTCCTCCTAGAGAAATGGGGAAGATGGAGGGAAGAAGGAATCTGAGCGTTAGTTATACATGTTAAGTTGAAGCAAGTAAGAGGCACCATTGCAGCAACGTCAGGTGGATGGACAATGCGGTCCAGATGATTGTGCGTGCATTCGTCATCCAGCTAGGCAGGATCAACTAGAGCAGGGGCCAGCTGCTTGCTTTTGTAAATAAAGTTTTATTGGAGCACAGGCATCACCATTTCTTTATACCCATGCTGTCTGTGGCTTTTGTAATGTTACAAGGGCAGAGAGGACTAGTTGCAACAGAGACCCTATGGCCCATAAAGCTGGACGTGTTTATTCTCTGGCCTTCTGCAGAAAAAGTCTGCCAACCCCTGACCTAGAGTAGAGCCTGGGACCAAGTCTCGAGGGCTCTGACAATCAGAACTCAGGCAGAGTCTGCCCAAAAGACTGAGAAGAAACAGCCCGTTTGGCAAGAGAAATGCAGGTTTGGTGTCATAGGTGCCAAGAAGAGCTTTTCCAAGGGGGGTACTAAAGACTGCCAAGAGGGGCAGTAACTTTAGGACTGAAAAGGCAGCTGTTGGATTTGGTGGCTTGGAAGAAGCCGATTTCATCACTCAACGCAAAGAAGTAGGGGCAGAAATCAGACTAGAAGGAGTGGAAGAACAAATGCGAAGCTGCAAGGTAGACAGTGAATAGAGATGCATCCTTGAGGGTGGACTCTGGAAAAATAGAAGCAGGATGATGGCTAGAGAGGTGGAGGGTCCCAGAGTGTGGGAGGGATCGGGGGGAGAGGTGATCGTGGGGATAGAATCTTCAAAGGCAAAAATGGGGTCCAGATGCGGGGTAGGAGGACTGACCCTGCAACAAAGATCAGGAATGTGGTTACCACATGTTGGTAGGGTGACTGGCTGATGGGCAGACCAAGTAACTCCTGCTTGACATTTGTTTTGTCAATGAAAAATGAATTGGTCATCAGCTGAGTCAAGGGGCGGGGGTGGATTTTTGAAGAATACAAGGAAACCTCCACCTAACATTTGGTCTCCCTAGTATGCATCACTATCGAGAACAGATTCTGCATGAAGCTCAAATGCTTTGCTTCATGCTGGTTAATAATATTGATCAGGGATGGCAAAGACACAGGCCATTGGCATTTTTCCTCCTTTGCACCCGTTGCTGGAAGCAGTCTCCTTGTTACAGATCACGTTTCTGCGGAACATCACGTGGACCTTGTCCAACTTGTGCCGAAACAAGAACCCTTACCCTTCTGTGAAAGCCGTGAAGCAGATGTTGCCCGTCCTATCCCACCTCCTGCAGCACCAAGACAGCGAGGTTCTCTCGGACACCTGCTGGGCCCTGTCCTACCTCACTGATGGCTCCAACGAGCGCATCGGCCAAGTGGTCAACACAGGGGTCCTGCCCAGGCTGGTCCAGCTCATGAGCAGCTCGGAGCTCAATGTCTTGGTAAACGTCCCTGGTCCTGTCTGTCTCTGTCTGGGCCTTCAGATGAGAATGTGTGAGTCATACTTCCTTGAACAAGACCTCTCCCAGTCCCGGTCTTCCACAGTTGGGTCTCATACTTTATCTAGAACAAAGCTTGTCATCTACAATTCCCTGGTCTCTGCTACTCTCTAGCTAAAGACTTGAATCTATTTTGATCTGAAGTCCTAGTGGATGTTAAATAACTCACTTGTCTTAATCTGATAACTAGAAAAACTAGACAAGCACCAAATTAAAATAATCCCTCCACTCAGTAAACTATTCTTTTGTGGCCTTTCCTTCTAGGGGTCTGTGCATGTGGATGTTAACAAGTTGGCTAATACAGTGTGTGTGTGTGTGTGTGTGTGTGCGCGTGCGTGCGTGCGCACATTTGTGTATAAACAAAGCTTGTTGTAACATTTGAATTTCTTACTCAAGGATAAAAAAAAATCCCTCTTATCCTCTCCCCAGTTTGTTATTAGACCACTTCAGCATAGGTAAAATGAAAAAAAAACAAAAACAAAACATCAAATACTTTGCTATGATATGAAACGTGTCCCTTACATAATACGCTTCTTGAAGATATGCCTTGAAACGTGGGTGGCCCTTTTGATTTCTGTGGCTAATGTTGTATATTTATGCAGCTTTAGTGATCATCTATGCCTAGATTAGCATAGTATTCCTCGGACGTCAAGGTTAGTTTGGGGATAGTATTGGGGAGAGGGAGGGTACAAGAAGAATATAAGAAGCTGCTTATCCTGAGGGGTCTAGGGCCCATTTGGAGTCGTCCTGCCAAGGCTGTGATGGGCCTACAGCACTGTTTCACCTCTCGCTTGAGTAGCAAATAAACCCAGCATAAAAGGCTAGGAAAACTCTCGAACTGTTGATGGTCTGTGTGGAGGTGGTCACTGCGGTGCAGAGAAACCAAAATAAATGCACAGTCAGCCCTCAGAGGATGGTTGTCTTGAGCCCAATTGCAGATCCATCCTGGGGACCTTCAGAGTTGAGAGGGAGTTTGTGAATACAACAACAACAAAAAATGCCGTTGGGCTCTCATTAGCTCCAATTAAATATACAACAGAAACTTGACACTGGTGCTAAATACAAATTCAGTAGAAGTTATTACATTATAAACCCTATAATCAATTTAGGGATATTCCCAGTGTAGGGATACAAAAAGGACAGCATTGTTTCTTAATAAAGGCATCCCTGGACCTCTATCTTACGTGAGCCAGAACTATTGAGAGGCTAGCAAGTACCTTTAAACTATGCAAATGGCCATGGATGTGCTGAATTAATAGGGATCATGGATTTAGTCGTTATTCACGGGTTTCCTGAGCGCCATCAACATAGCGTGATGAACATGGGGGAATGCGCAGAGCTTGGTGATGGTTCCCTTCTGTTACGGTAAGTTTGCAATGCTTGGTTACGTGTATAGCCTTGCTCTTCCAGACCCCCTCCCTCCGCACCGTGGGGAACATCGTCACGGGAACGGATCACCAGACCCAGGTGGCCATCGACGCGGGCATGCTGCACGTGTTGCCCCAGCTCCTGATGCACCCCAAGTCCTCCATCCAGAAGGAAGCAGCTTGGGCCTTGAGCAACGTGGCTGCAGGGCCTCGCCAACACATCCAGCGGCTGATAGCTTGCGGCATGCTGCCTCCTTTGGTGGCTCTGCTGAAAAACGTAAGTGGTGCGCTCCGTGTCCGTGACAAGAGGCTATTTTCCGATTGGCCCTGTGTTGAACTCCTTCAGTAATTCAGAGACAGGCTAAGAAGCAAATTAATTGAGATCACAACAGAGCTGTGAAACCGTGGTTTCCTCACTCGCCCTGGAAACAGGAAGAGGCATCCCGTTTGGGACAAACCATTAAAGATTTGGGAGACTTAACAGGCATTGTTCAGTGAAAAGGTGATCCCCCACAGCTCCAATATTCAGCAAAAATATTGAGCTGGTAAATACTGGCTTATCTTTAGTGTTAAAAGAATGTGCCATCCACTCTACGTACTAAAAGGGGGAGGGGTTTGTTTTGTTTTAGGAGGAAAAACGTATCAGGTTATGGTGATATTATACACTGAAGAAAGTGGCCTTTTCAGTGTAAAAATCACATCAATTAGAGTAGTAATATACACTGAAAATCCAGATGTAAAAGTGGAAATACAATAAAGCTTCCTTCTTCCTCCTGATTCCCACTTCCCTTGCCTGGGACAACTACTATCTGTCGGCATTTCTTTTTGTCACCTTTGAATGGATGAGCTCTGTTTAAATCATTTACATGTGACACAAGCCAGGAGTGGGGCAGTCTTCCTGGGGGCGGGGAGGCAAGTGGAGTAGGATGGGAAAAAGAGGCTGCTGGTGGGGTGCCTGCCCTCAGGTTAGATGGTGGGTTCCCAGGTGTGCCACCCAAATCAAGGTTCAACCCAATCCATCAGATACTTCCTATCCTGTGTGCGTCCATGAGTCTGTACATATTCTAAGCAGAACATCCAGTCATGAGTCAAGGAGTAATCTTATTTCAAGCTGCCTTTTGAACTACAACTGGCTTGGAGCCATATGTTGTTTTGGTTATCGGTATGTTTTTGTTTGTTTTTAAGTTGAGGTCACAGTTCTTCCCCAGCCATAAAATGGGAATAATTCCTTCTGCCCGGGGAAAGAAGGATCTACAATAAATGACTCCCATATCTCTGGGCGAAGTGTTTCTTATAAATGCAAGGGATACATTGAGTGAGGTTTCAGTGGCCTTCCTCCGTCACCTCCGGGCTGGCTCAGTCCCTGAGATCACTTCTGTGTGCTCAGCTTTGTAGCTGGGGAGCTTCTTGTCCATAGTTTTCCTGTGACAGAAAGACCAGAAATGTTGACCTAGGTCACTATAACCTAAAATTCCAAGCATAATGCCTATTTTTCCCATAACCTGACCTAAGGAAATGAGTCTACTTCAAACTTAAAACCTCCCTCTAAGGCCCCACAGAAGTCTGTCTGCCTACGTCTGGGCTTCTCAAAGATGCTGTCTTCTGCTCAAGAACTAGAGGCAGGATGCCAAGGTGTTCCATGTAAATTGCACAGACCATCCTGGCTGTCCCTAGCCTACCTAGAAATTGAACTAAGGGGCACCTGGGTGGCTCAGTCGTTAAGCGTCTGCCTTCGGCTCAGGTCATGATCCCAGGGTCCTGGGATCGAGTCCCACATCGGGCTCCCTACTCAGTGGGAAGCCTACTTCTCCCTCTTCCCCTCCCCCTGCTTGTGTTCCTTCTCTCACTGTGTCTCTCTCTGTCAAATTAATAAATAAATAAAATCTTAAAAAAAAAAAAGAAATTGAACTAAGCATCACTGTATTTAAGTTCCTCAGGATCTATAAAGAATGTAAATGTTCTCTTTCTGCAGGGAGAATTTAAAGTCCAGAAAGAGGCCGTTTGGACCGTGGCTAACTTCACAACTGGAGGCACCATAGACCAGTTGATCCAGCTTGTCCACTCTGGTGTCCTGGAGCCACTGGTGAATCTGCTTACCATCCAAGACACCAAAATTGTTATCATCATCCTTGATGTTATCTCTTTTATCCTCCAGGTGAGCTGTTCTAAGCAGGTTGGTTTTTAAATAGCAGTCTCCAAATTTGAGGCATTTAATTTGGTTCTTAAAACTCACATGTGGATTCTCTTTCCACTCCTTCACCCCTCCTCCTGGTATCCTATGGGTAACAAAAACAAGAGGACTTTCAAAGAAGGTCCCTCTTCATTTTTCAAATGAGTGACTGTGTGCCCAGCATTGTTTCAGATGCTCAGGATACAACAGAACAACGTCCTTGCTCTGATTGAACTTATGTATTAATGGAGAGGGAAACAGACACAACAGCTGAGAGCTTATCTGCTAAAAGGACCGTCACTGATGGCTCAGAGTGGGGAGAGCATGGTGATCCCTTGTATGTAGTCATCAGGAGAAACTTGTCTCAGGAAGAACATTTATGCAAAGCCCTGAGAGGAGTGAAGTGAATGAGTCTTGTGGATATCTGGGGAAGAGCACTCAGGATGAGTGGGGGCAAATGGATAGAAGGTGGTAGTCAGGCTCAGAGCATCCAGATCACATGAGGTGTGGGAGAACTTCAGCTTACTCTGAGTGAGATGGAGAAACCAATCAAAGGTCAAAGCAGGGGAAAGAGTCCATGAACCACATGGCTGGCTCTTCTAGAAGGCTAAAACATAGGATACACTCGAAAGAGCAGCAGCAGGAATAGATCTTGAAACTGACTCCAGAGACTTGAATTAGAGATCTAGAAAGCCTTATTTCTGGAAGAAAGCCAGTGTTCATAAACCATTTGTGTCAGTTCTGTATTGCTGCATAATTGGTTACTGCCTAGTGGTCTAGAACAAACATTTATTATGTCACCTAGTTTCTGGGGTTAGGAATCTGGGGGCAGCTTAGCTGGATGGTTCTGGCTCAGGGTTTCTTAGGAGGTTCGAGGTGTCAACTGGGGCTGGTCTCATCTGAAGGCTTGATGGAGGTTGGAGGATCAGCTTCCAAGAAGGCTCACTCACATGCCTGGAAAGTTATTCTCACTACATGGACCTCTTCATAGGACCATATGTGTGTCTTCACATCATGGCGACTGGCTTCCTCTGGAACAAGTGATCTAGGAAAGCAAGATGGGAGCCCCGATGGCTTTTATAATCTAGCCTTGGAAGTCATTTCAACAACATTCAATTGGTTACACAGATCAACCCCACTCAAAATGGGAGGAAACTATACAAGGGTGTTGAATACCAGGAGGTAGGATCATCTGAGGCCATCTTGAAGGCTGGCTATATTCATTTGGTTCAGGTCCTTTTATATGCAACTAAGCTGTTTGAAAAGTTTCAAAGTAACACCAGGGGACTCCTTTTAAAAGCTCACTTTAAGCATCCTTTTCATGTAACTGTCTTGGAAAGAACTGACCTTAGTCAGGAACAGATCTGAAAGAGCACCCAATTAGACACTAAGATTGAGCAAATCACACAGATGAAGAATAGAGACTTGGCCACCCGTAGACAAAGTTGCATAAAATGACATAACACTTTTGTGAAAGTACACTTGTGGGCATTAGAAATTTAACTTCATCTGTTTCATTTGAACTAAACATTTGGGATTTTTTTTCCTTGGGGGGAGTCTGGGAAAACCACATCTGATAGACCAGAGAGAAGCACTGGAATAGCAGGTTAGGAGGACGAGGCAGGAGAGAGCCTCAAATGGGCAGCAGAGTGTAGCTGAAGTTCTTTGAAGTGACTTTGGAGCCGTTTGCTGTGGTGTTGACATCCAGAATCCTTCTCCAGAGCTCTGACTGCCCTTGGTCCTCCCACACTCCCCAGTGTTCTTTCTGAGGCTAACCTAGCACATTGGTCCCACCTCGGTTTCTTTGCTCAAAGCCAAAAAACTCATTTTGGACTTGCGGATAGGACTAGAGTGTGTCAGGGTTTAGACACACAGTGCACACTCTGATCAGGTAGACAGTGTGGCCTAAATCATGCTTAATTTGAACCACAGGAGGTTTTCTTATTACTGCTCACGAAATAGAGAGCAGAGCCCTTCAGGAGTTGACACCAAAGCCTTTTCTTTATTTCTCTTCACTTCCCCCAGATAGACTGTTTAGCTGAATTACTCCCTCTTCTCCTAATATGCAACATGTATTCCTTCACATCTTTGTCCTTGCCCCTCCTTGTTTTGAGAATGCCATGATTATCCTATGGTTGACCCTGGCACAGCATTGTTTATCAAGAACATGTGCTAGTTTCCAAGTCTTTTATGCACATCTTCTATAACTTAAACCACCGATCATCTATATTCTGCTTTCTTAAATTATTTACCTGTCTGCCCTAAGAACGTGAGTTACAAAAAGGCCTTTTCTAAATCCTATCTTGATCTCTAGTTTTGTAGGCCTTGCCACGGTATATGTACAAAGGTTTGAGTGAAGGAATAGCCCTTGATGATAAATCCAACGATCCGCATTGGATTAAATCCACTCATGTTACTTGTTTCCAGGGACCTGGTTATTTGCCGTGGTGTTACTAAGGGTCCCCTTAGTCTTACCTCTTAAGGCTTTTCCAGTGAGGGCAGGGCCAGAACACCTGCATTTAAATAGCATTACTTGAACATTCTTTCAAACTGTATTTTAAACAATTTCCATTAATTATAAGGGAGATAACTATTAAACAGTAATAGCAATGTATTTATGAAGGGCAGCATACTTGGCAAAAATTGTATTTTGTGCAGTTGATATAAACCTAAATATATGTACTATAAATATCTAAAAGGGGAGGAAGATCCTGAAATCTTTTTTTTTTTTTTTTTAAGAGGAGAGCGAGAAGAGGGGGTGGGGAGAGGGAGAGAAAGAATCTCAAGCAGGCTCCATGCCCAGCATGGAGCCCAACACGGGCTCGATCTCACAACCCTGAGATCATGACCTGAGCTAAAATCCAGAGTTGGACCTTTAACTGACTGAGCCACCCAGGTGTCCCTGATCCTGCAGTCTTAATGAGGGAAGAACTGTGGCTGCCATTCTGGAACAGGAGCCTTTGGTCTGACTCCACGGTGGTGAAGCTCTACCTCCGAAGGGCTTTTGCCCAGAGTCTTGCTTTTCCTTTATGCCCACAGGCAGCAGAGAAGCTTTCAGAGAAGGAAAACCTGTGTCTTCTGATAGAGGAAATGGGTGGCATTGATAAAATTGAGGCTTTGCAACTTCATGAGAACCCTCAGGTTGCCCTGACTGCTTTGAACATTATCGAGAACCATTTTTCTGAGGTAAGTGACTTCAGAGTGGAAAGGAGTGCCCACACCTCCTGGTGTGCTACCTTAGCAGGTGATCATTGGGCAGGTGCCCATGCTTCTCCTGTGAGCTGGGCTTCTCTCTATGACTTAGCTCTGAGTTTCTCCCCCATCCATGCTGACTGGGCCACCTTTGAGTGGCAGCTTCCTGGCTCCTGGAGACCATTCTAGTCCCATAAAAGCTTGTCCTGCTACCTCTGGTTTAGAATTTTTTTGTTTTGTTTTGTTTTTTTGTCCCCCCCCCCCACTTCTTTTGATGGGGATGGACAGATGGATGGATGGATGGACAGGATATGATGCTGAAGTGATTATTTTTTTCTTTTTTCTTTTTTTTTACCGAGAAAAACAACTAAGGCAGGCCCAGCTTTTGAAAAACATTTTGGTTTTTTTTTTTTTTTAAAGATTTTATTTATTTATTTGACAGAGAGACACAGCGAGAGAGGGAACACAAGCAGGGGGAGCGGGAGAGGGAGAAGCAGGCTTCCCGCGGAGCAGGGAGCCCGATGCAGGGCTCGATCCCAGGACCCTGGGATCATGACCTGAGCCGAAGGCAGATGCTTAATGACTGAGCCACCCAGGCGCCCCAACATTTTGGTACTTAACACATTTTGTCTCTTCCCAGAAGATGGGGTTTGGGATAAACTGTACACAGGGCTTTTAACTTCTCTGTGGGAGCAGGGAATAGTGATCAGACAGCATTAGACACTTCTTTAAACCATTTTTTATTATAATGTGTAACATAAAAGTTTACCGTTTTAACCACTTTTGAGTGTACAGCTCAGGGTCCTCAAGTACCTTCACATTGCTATGTAGCCATCACCAGCATCCTCTCTAGAACTTTCCCATCTTTGCAAAATGAAGCTCTGTCCCCATTAAACATTAACTCCCCATCCTTCTTCCCTACACCGCCCCCAACCCTGGCAACCACCATTTAACTTTTCATCTCTGTGAATTTGACTACTCTAAGTACCTCATATAAGTAGAATCCTACAGTATTTTTTCTTTTATGACTGGTTCATTTTACTCAGCATAATGCCCACAAGGTTCATCCATGTTGCAGCAGGTGCCAGAATTTCCTTTATATTTTAGGCTGAGTAATATTCCACTGTGTGGATAGATGATGTTTTGTTTATCCATTAATCATAGATATTCACTTGGACTGTTCTTTTGACTCTTGTGAATAATGTTGCTATGAAAATGGAAGTACAAATATCTGTTCAAATTCCTGCTTTCAGTTCTTCTGAGTGTATATACAGAAGTGGAATTGTTGGGTCATACAGTAGTTCTATTTTTAATTTTTGAGGAACCACTATACTGTTATCCATAGTGAATGCGCCATTTTACATTCTCACCAGCAATGCATGAGGGTTCCCATTTTTCAACATCCTAGCCAATACTTGTCTGTTTTTTTGATCACAGCCATCCTAATGGGTGTGAAGTGGTATCTCATTGTGGTTTTGTGTGGCATTTGCATTAGATATTTTTCATAGGAAGAAGGTGAGCTCAAAGTTCTTAAGTGGCCAGGAGGCTAGGGGTTTATAGAGTGAGTGACACCCCGTTAGGCATCAAACTTGAATCAGCAAAATACAGAGCCATACAATAAATATGACCAGGTTGGTGGTGTCTTGCTACCTGAGGGTAGCCAATACTGGTTTGGGACCAAGAGGATGCTCTCAAAGCAGAGAGGACCCAGAACAGCAATCAGCATCTTCTGGGTTAAGGCTCCTACGAACACCTTGTAATTTAGGAAACCCATCTCTTAAAGGAGGTTCAGATCTCTAGGACTCATCCAAGGGCTCCAGGCTAAAGACTTCTGATTTGGAAGTAACAGCTACATATGCTGTGTCCTTACTCACCGTAAGGGCACTGTTCTGTGCATCAAAACTGCACTTAAAAATAAGCTAGACATAAGAACACAAATACTGTGTGCTTTCACTTACATCAGGGACCTAGAAGAGTCAAACTCAGACATGCAGTAGAATGGTGAATGTCAGGAGCTGGGGGAGAGAAGGAAATAGGGAGCTAATGTTTAGTAGGTACAGAGCTTCAGTTTGAAATGACAAAGTTCTGCAGATGGATGGTAGTAGTTGCACAGAAATGTGAACATAATGCCTCTGAGCAAATGGTTAAAAATGGCAAATTTTATGGTATGTATGTTTTACCACACACACAAACTGCATTTAAGATCCAGCCTGAGAAATATTTCCGTGCTCCTCTTCTCTGGGGGAGACTTGAGGCTGATTTTAGAGCAAATTGCTAATCCACAGAAGATGTTAAGGAGTCAGCTGTGCAGCAATAATGTGCTGAGAGCCTCCAGGTATAATAGTGTCTCTTCTTCCCTGAAGGGAGAAGAAAGTGGCACAGTATTACCAGCCCTGGACCAAGATCATGAATTCTTAAACCGCCTAACAAAGCAATACCAAGGCCCCACGACTCCTAAACCAAGGAGCAAACCCTAATGGGTAACTTCTTTAAGAACCTTCTATGTCTTGGCATGGCACAGGTGTAAAGCTTTTTAAACTAAATGTTAATAAAATTTTTGACACCTTCACCTCCATCTATCAAAAATGCCGTTAAACTGCTTATGTCTTGAAGCCCTGTGGAAGTCATCTCCTAAGAATGTGTGGTTTAGTGGTTACCTTTAAGTATCTTGAAGACCCTGAGAACAGAGTAGAATGGTCTATAGCTATCTAGACAAATTTTGACTTGTAGACTTGGTTTAACCAGCAATTCTTACAGTTCTTTCCCCTTTCCTTTACATTGTCATGGAATGCCTGTTAATAGAGAACATTCTTCAGGGAAAGCTGTGTGGACGATAGTTAAAAGGAGAGTGAGAGTAGGATGGGAAGGACCTAGGAACACGATACTAGGCAGCGTTGTGATGGATGTGGGATACACTTTAAGGAGGACTGGACTTGATTTGTATTATTTGAGTGTAGAGGTGGATCAAGTTCTACTGGGCTCTAAAGCATCACACCAAAAGGTCATGCCCAAAGCAGGTCTTTGCTGGTTCTTGACAAGTGAGGAGGAAAACTGTGTGGGAGTCCATCTAAAGTACTGCTGGAAGACCATTCACGTTCTCACAAACATCTCATTGAGTGGTGAGAACAAATCTGCGATTTAGTGGACACTAGATATTCCAATAAGCATCCTCATCAACTTCTGGAGTGACCATGCTCGCTGCTGAGAGCTGTGTTGGTGGGATGGGATCCTCAGTGTTTTGCTCTCCACATGGAAATCCTTTTCAACTCCCTCTTTCATTCATCAGCTCAGGACATCCTAGCTTGGTACATCCCTGACCAAGCAGAATCCCACTCAACAAGGACTTTGCATCTTAGACCCAGGGACTGAGTGCAGAAGAAACAAATAATTGGCAAGTGTTCATTTACTCCAGCAGCAGGACCTTACACTCAGTGGAGTAGACCTTCTCAGTGGTTACCTGCCTTTGCTTCTCCAAGGCTTCCCTTTGGTCCTGTCTGCTCCCCCATACTCATTTTTTTTTAAGATTTTATTTATTTATTTGAGAGACAGCGAGAGAGGGAACACAAGCAGGGGGGAGCGGGAGAGGGAGAAGCAGGCTTCCCGCTGAGCAGGGAGCCCGACGTGGGGCTTGATCCCAGGACCCCGGGATCATGACCCGAGCCGAAGGCAGAAGCTCAACGACTGAGCCACCCAGGTGCCCCCAAAACTACATTTTTAAATGTATAATAGCAGTTTAATCATTTTCTCACTTTCACTATGACCTTATCTGTTTCTGAATATAGACTGTGGGGTTCAACTAGGATCTTTTTTTTTTTTAAGATTTCATTTATTTGAGAGAGAGCAGGAGCAAGGTTGAGGGGGAGGGACAGAGGGAGAGGGAGAAGCAGACTCCCCACTGAGCAGGAAGCCCGATGTGGGGCTCTATCCCAGGACTCTCCTAGGATCTGATCCCAGGACCCTGGGATCACGACCTGAGCCGAAGGGAGACGCTTAACGGACTGAGCCACCCAGGTGCCCCACATCTAGGATCTTTAAAGAAATTATTTTTTCTAGAATTGTCCCTAATTACTTGGCTGCATATATTTGAAGAAATAATCTAAATCTCAAATAATTCCACAGCCATAAAACACAACCACATACCTATTAGGATGGCCAAAAGGGAAGACAGTGACAATACCAAATGCTGGCAAGGATGCTGAGAAACATTGCTCATGGAAAAGTAAAATGCTGGGGTGCCTCGGTGGCTCAGTGTGTTAAGCGTCTGCCTTCGGCTCAGGTCATGATCCCAGGGTCCTGGGATCGAGCCCCACATTGGGCTCCCTGCTTAGCGGGGAGTCTGCTTCTGCCCCTCCCCCTGCTTGGTCGTGCTCTCTCTCTGTCAAACAAACAAATAAAATCTTTTAAAAAAGGTAAAGGAAAATGCTATAGCCACTCGAAAAAAGTTTGGCAGTTTCTTAGAACACTAAACTTCCATATGACTCAGCAATTGTACTCTAGAGCTGTTATTCCAGAGAAACTAAAACTTATTATGTTCACATAAATGCCTGCACATGAATGTTCATAGTAGTTTATTAATAGTAACCCAAAACTGGAGTTAGCCCAGGTATCCTCCAATGGGTGAATGGTTAAACAAAAGGTGATACATCCAAGTCATGGAATACTACTTAGTAATAAAAAGGAACAAACTTGGGCACCTGGGTGGCTCAGATGGTTAAGCGTCTGCCTTCGGCTCAGGTCATGATC